AAATAAGTCCCATTTCTTCATAATGCCCTTACGATATAGTCCAACCAATAAATATATTGTTTTCTTCTTTTGTTTAAGTTGAGAAACCATCAAGGATTTCAGCTAACTTACCACTTTAAACATGATAAAGCTTTCCAAAAAGTTGATTAAAATATCAAAAGTTACTTTGGAAGATGGAGCTTGTATTTCAACAGCACCTTTAATGACCACATTGCTTTTACAGCCTAAAAAATACTTGCGAAATGTTGTCTCTGTGCAATAGTCCCTCAGTACTGCCTGTGTGATGCTGCTGTGACCCTTAATACTGCCTCTGCAACAGTGCAGCAGTCACTCAGTATTGCCCCACCAGCAGTGCAGCGTGCTCTGAGTGCTGGCCTCAACAGTGTTCCCTCCGTACTGCCCACTCAACTGTGCATATTACTTGTCCAACCATGAAGCGCTTCTTTAGCACTGGCATTCTGACTGCTATGCTTTCTCCCTCAATACAATCCTACTAACTATTATACAATAATCACGGAAGTAAATAGGAGCCTTTGCAATGTGACACTACCAGAAGGACATGGAAGCTTTGGAGAGAGTGCAGAGAAGATTCACCAGGATGTTGCCCCGTCTCGAGGGCATTGGGCACTGGTGGGCCAAGACCTGCTGTGGGGCAGAGCAAGCAGGCTGATACCCGCAGAGAATTGGAGCGAGCAGCGTGGCCTTGCGCTCAGGGGCCTGCAGGCACGTCCCGAGAGCCCCAGAACACCACGAGCAGTGAGCCCTGGAGCAGCAAATGGGCTGGAAGCCTGGATCAGTGCGGAGGAGAAGCCCCACAGCAGCACATGGGAAGGAGCCCCCGGAGGAGCGTGCATGCAGCGCGTTCTGGACATAGACCGGTGTGAGGGGACAATCCTTACCTTAGAACACTGTAATATTAACCCCTTAATATATTCCTTTTTTTAACTTATTTTCAACTGTTTAATTGAGCAACTACTTTATCCCTTTGCTGTATCAAAGAATTGTATCTAGGTACTTGAACCTAAGAGGTCGCTTTAAGAAGGCAGACATTGTAAATGTTTTTCACCGTACTCCTACAATGGGGCACATGTGACAATAAAACTATATTGTATTGTATGAGGAAAGGTTAAAAAGACTACGATTGTTTTCACTGGAAAGACAGCAGGTGAGAGGAGACCTGACAAAGGTCTACAAAATTGAGACGCATAGATAGGATGGATAGTCAGAGACTTTGTCCCAGGGTTGAAGTTTCAATTACAAGGGAGCACAAGTTCAAGATGAGAGGGGGAAAGTTTAAGGGAGATGTGCAAGGGAAGTTTTTCACGCAGAGAGTGGTAGGAGCCTGGAATGCACTGCCAGCGGTGGTGGTGGAAGCAGGCACATTGGTGACATTTAAGAGGCATCTGGACGGTTACATGAATAGGGAGGGAATACAGGGATACTGAATAAGGGCAGAAGGTTTTTTTAAAGTTTAGTTAGGGCATGATGATCAGCACAGGCTTGGAGGGCTGAAGGGCCTGTTCCCATGCTGTACTTCTCTTTTGTTCTTTTGGATGGATGCATCCAGGTAGAGTAGTGAGTATGAGGTCGAGCAGCAGCGTCCCTCTTGTTGGTTCTCTCACTACCTAATGTAGCAAATAGATCTTTTAGGACTTAGCCTGTTCAGTCAGTAGCAGTGCTACCAAGCCAGTCTTAGTGATGGGCATTTAGGTTCCCTACATAGTACACATTCTGTGTCTGTTACTCTCAGTATTTGTCCTAAATAGTGTTCAACTTGAACAAGTACTGGTTCAAAAGTGAAGGAGGGTGGGAGGTGATGATCAGCAGACAATTCCTTTGCTCACATCTGACCTGATGCAATAAGACTTCATAGGGTCTGGAGTCAATGCTGAGTACTCCCAAGGCCACCCCCTCCTGCAGTGATACCACCTCTGACGGGTCTATCCTGCTAGTGGAACATTGGTACTACTGAGTAATGTTCCAGGACATTTCAGAGGGCAGCTAAGAATCAACCACATTGCCATAGGTCTGGAGTCACGTAGAGGCTAGACCAGGTAAAGACGGTAGATTTCCTTTCCTGTAAGACATTGGTAATCCAGCTGGATTTTTTACAATAAATCAGTGGTTGCATACTGACACTAGGATTTCATTCTACATTCATCTAACTAACTGAATTTAAATACTCTGGTGAAATCTCATACCTCTCGATCATTTGTCAGGGGTTCAGGATTTCCAATTCAGTAACATAACCATTGTTTAGCAGGGTTTTGACAACTGGTCTAATGGAGATCTAAATTAGTGCAAATTAATTCCATTCCAATATGATGAGCATTGATATTTGCAGTGTAAATTTAATCTTGGGGCCCTCATCGGATGTTGCTATTTCTCTGCTGATCACCAGAGGGAGCAGCCACTTGAATGAGCTAATCATCAAATAATCTGATTTTTTTTCAGCATTGTTAGTTGAGGGATAAACATTGGACTAAGGCATTGGAGAAAACTCCCTGTTCTTCACCAAAACTGTGCTACATTCATCTGTCTCACTTCATGATCTCATTTGAAAGTAACGTATTAAACGATAACACAACACCTCCCAGTCGCGAACCACTTCAACTCTCCCTCCCACACCTTGGACGACATGTCCATCCTGGGCCTCCTCCATTGCCACAACTATGCCACCCGAAGGCTGGAGGAACAGCACCTCATATTCCGCTTGGGAACCCTGCAGTCCAATTGTCTCAATATGGACTTTACAAGCTTCAAAATCTCCCCACCCCCGACCTCCTCCCAAGACCAGCCCATCTTGTCCCCGCCTCCTTGACCTGTCCATCTTTTCTCCCACCTGTTCGCTCCTCCCTCCTCACTGACCAACACCCACCCCCATTTCCTACCTACTAGCGTCATCCCCACCTCCTTGACCTGTCCGTCTTCCCTCCCACTACCTACCCCTCCCTCCTCACTGACCAACCCCCATCCCAACTCCCTACCTACACTCACCTGTACTGGCTTCATCCCCGCCTCCTCGACCTGTCCGTCTTCTCTCCACCTATCTGCTCCTCTATTCACCTTCTATCATCGCCTCCTGCTCTCTCTATTTATTTCAGAGCCCCCTTCCCCTCCCCCATTTCTGAAGAAGGGTCCAGACCCGAAATGTCAGCTTTTCTGCTCCTCTGATGCTGCCTGGCCTGCTGTGTTCATTCAGCTCTACACCCTGTTATCTCAGACTCCAGCATCGGCAGTTCCTACTGTCTCAATTAAACGATAAAATCCTTCCTTTAGTAGTGCCTGTTCGTTAGTGTACTATTACTGTAGAACTGTCCCTTCTCGACAATGCAGCACTCCCACAGTACTACCTCTCTGGCTGCCTCTCGACTAGTGCAGCATTTCCTCAGTACTGTCCCTCCAACTGTGCAATATTGCTTCAGTTCTGCCACTCCATAGTGTAGCGCAGCCTCCGTACTGTCCTTTTAACAGCATTGCATTGTCTCAGGGCTACCTCTCTGACAGTGAAGCACTCTTTCAATACAACATTGGAAGCTAGAATTTAGGCTCAAGTCTCTGGAATATGGAACTTCACTGTATCATTGCAATGATTCACAGGAGTGGGATTGATACCCAGTGAGATATAGCGGACTACTTGCAGAACATATAAGAAGCCAAATAATAAAAATCTCAGAAATCAGAATGTGGACAGAAATTGCTGGAAATATTTAGGACATTAGGTAGTATCTGTGGAGGGAGAAACAGAGCTAATGTTTTAAGGCAATTACTTTTCAAAGGCTTTCAACTTAAAATTTACTCATTACAGCCAACCTCAATCTTGTCTCCCTTTCATGATCTAGATTTCCTGCCAGGATTCATTGAGCAGTGGGTAAGACAGACAGGTTTCACTCCTCCTTCCAGCAGAGGACAGCATCTGAATCTTGGGTCACCAGTTCCATCCTCTGTTCCAGAGTCAGGGTCTAAACATGGAAATCACCAGTTTTAAAATCTCCCCACCCCATCCTCATCCCATGTCCAACCCTCCCTCTCACCCCGCCTCCTTGACCTGCTACAACCTCTCCATTTTCTCTCCCACCTATTCACCCCTCCCATCCCACTGACCACTCCCCACCACTCCCAACCTGCACTTACCTATCACCATCCCATCTACCTTCCCCAGCCCCACCCCTCCCTTCTCTATTTATTTCCCAGCTCCCAGGTCAACATCAATGGTGTTGAGGTGCAGATGGTTGAAATCATCAAGTTCCTAGGAGTAATGATCACCAAAAATCTAACCCAACTACCTTCCTCCATTGATGGTGCTCTTTTATCTGGCAGAAGTATTGTCCCAAGAAGATTACACTCCTACCTGTACCTTTCCTTTGCTCCATTCTCAGCATGCAGGTGTCAGTGACAAAGCCTGCATTTATTATCCATTCCCAGTTAAACTGTCAACCACATTGCTGTGGGTTGGTTGAATCTTTAAAAAAAACAAAAGAACTGCGGATGCTGTAAATCAGGAACAAAAACAGAAGTTGCTGGAAAAGCTCAGCTGGTCTGGAAGCATCTGTGAAGAAAAAATCAGAGTTAATGTTTCGGGCCCGGTGACCCTTCCTCAGAACCCTGTGTTTGTGGTTGATGCTTAACTTGACAACTAGGGATGGGCTGACCTGATCAGTGAGAAATGAGTAAAAACAAAAGGATTAAAAGTATTAAACGTTGCTGATAAAATCGCTGTCTCGAAGCACGTTATTGTTGTGGTGCATGACTGCCTGGGCTGGGAGCAACACCTGCTGCAAGGACGGACAGCAATGCGCATGCGCCAGGTCAGCTTACAGCGAAGGACTTGCAAGGGGCAAGGACGCTTCTCAGTAGGCGGGCCGGACCTTGGCTGCGCATGCTCGGTTGGAAAGGAGCGGGGCGAAGACGCGTGCACGGCAGGTGGGCCAGGACACGGCTGCGCATGCTCCGCTGGCTGCGCGCGCTGCTGTCGGGTGGGGGTGGGGCTGGGGCTGGCCTGAAGTGGAGTCCCGCCTGGTGTCGCGCATGCGCCCAGGCTATCGGTGCCCGGGCTGTCAAAAACCGAGAGGCGGCTGTTTGGGACGGGCACGCGGCGGAGAGAGCCAAGCTGACCGGGATTCGGTTTATCGACAACGTTTCTGCGGGCGATAGATGGATAGGGGGAGGGGAGGTGGGAGAAAAAAAATGCTGTGGTGAAGTGGCGCCGGTTTTAATCGGGGGCCCATCGTTTTGTTTTAATACCGCGGGCGGCGGAGGGAAGTGAAAAGCTTGTGAGCGGCGGCTGGAAGCTCGAGGATGAGGCGGATGACTCGCGCGGGGCCGCCGCTTGTGGTTCCCGCCGCCTACTTGTTGCTGCTGCTGCTGCTGCTACTGCTCCTGTTTCCTGGCCGGGCCCAGACCCACACTCAGACCGAGCCCCCAGATCACGACAGCGTCAAGGGCGAGCTGGTGATCGCCGCGGTGAAGGTGTCGTACGTGGACCGGGCCAGCGGGCAGCGAGTGCTGGTGCCTGACCGCGGCGAGGACGGCCGCTACGGGCGCGACTCCCCAAAGGAAGGGGTGGAGGGCGCCACGGTGCTGGTGCCCGCGTGGACGCCTGGCAAACCCCGCAACCTGCAGGGCTGCGACCCCCGCACCCGCTTCGCGGTGCCGCCCGATACCCGGCGCTGGATCGCACTGCTCAACCGGGGCAACTGCACCTTCAAGCAGAAGATCCTGTTGGCGGCCGCCCAGAAGGCGGCGGCCGTGGTCATTTACCACAACGTGTCGGATGAGAAGCCCATCACCATGTCCCATCAAGGTAAATCGCAGGGCGGGGGTACGAGTGCCCGGGAGTTGCCTCAGGGATAGCCAGCGCTAGGGCGAAGGCGAGTGATGGTCCGGCAGAGAGAGAGGGAGAGAGAAGGACGAATTCAGCTGGGAAGAGTAGAGTCATAGATGGGGGAGTAATGATCCACCGGGGAGCGAGGGGTAGATCTCTAGCAGAAAGAGAGATCGGAATCAAAACAGCATGTTGAGAAAGAGGAGAGGGGTCAGTTTACCTAGGAGATGCTGATAAAACCAGATGGAACAGGGAGTATAAATCAATAGTGAGAGATATGTTATGTTATACCAGCGAAGTGAATGAATAACTCTGCAAGGTGTGAATAATGTAGCGAGGAGCGATAAACATGCAGGGAGAGGGGAGTTAAAAAGTGAAAGGATTGTTCCCATTTTATTGTTTCAGAGATAGTAGGAACTGCAGATGCTGGAGAATCTGAGATAACAAGGTGTAGAGCTGGATGAACACAGCAGGCCAAGCAGCATCATAGGAGCAGGAAGGCTGACGTTTCGGGCCTAGACCCTTCTTCAGAATTTTATTAACGTGATGCAGGGCAGGGTTTCATGTCAAATTGTGACACTGGAATTCATAACACGAGATAAATGCTTCAAATGTTGAAAACCTTAAATTTGAAATGTGTGTATGTAAGTAGGGCCCATCAACTTCTGAAGTAACAGAAAGATTGGTTAATATTTCAGAATCTCTCTCATCGCTGTTGCATGATTCCTTATTTCGTTTTTGCTTCGCAATACATCAGTCATGCCTGCCGGCTACGTTGTAGTTTGGTTTCGGTACACATGTGGATTTTCTCTCTGAATTTTGAGAATAACGTTTGTGTGGCTGCCTCATCTCATTGGGGTACAAAAGTGATCTTTTGCATTTGTGCTTGAATGCTATACAAAGCTCTGCTTACCACCATCCATGTGACAGTGAAATGTCTAATATTAAAACAAAATAGTTGCTCTTTTGCGTCTTTTCTAAAATTAATAGCTCTTGAGAACAATTCTGCAAGCCAACTAAATCTCAATTGAAAGCTGTTAAATTAGAGTTTTTCCCTGCCCCTCCTGAGATCTTTTATAATTGGTTGAGATTGTTTGATTGACTGGTTTTTTATTTTGCCCTCTTTGTTTCAATTTGAGATGCTGTTTAAGTGAAGGATCCAAGGTCTGTAAAGCAGGGTGCAGTTGAGAAATGGGTACGAGTAGAGCTTAGCTCATTTGCAAAGCTTAACTGTATAGTCTGCATTTAAGAATAAAATTACAAAAAAGTTGTGCATTGTAAAGCTGAAACCCCATTTGCAGTGCCAGGAAAATGTTGTAACTACTGTTTGCATAACTTTTTGCAAGAAGCATAATTTGTTGCAGCACTTGTGCTTCTGCTTCAGTTTGCTGCTGATGTTTGAGATTAAGGTTTGTTTCTTGTGGTACCATTATGTTTCACTGCTCTGGATTAGATTTCCTACAACCTTTGCACCTGTTATTACTCATACTTACACTGAGACATCAGAGAACCTAGTGAAATGTTATGAAGCTGTTCAGTGTTCCATTGAAGAAAGTATAATTCTTTTGAAAAGTTTGACAACACTGGAATAAATGTTTCTTACGTGAGTAAACCAGTTTACATCAAATAAAAACATTGGCTTCCACGGTACGGTTGATAGTGCTATTCCTTTCTGGATAAAGGGTTGAAAGTTCAAGTCCTGAGTTGTACACAAATATCTAGGCTAACAGCCAGTGCAGTGTTAAGGAAGCTCTGCACTGTTGGAAGCTGATGAGCTGTTAAAATGAGGTTTCGTATGCATTCCAAGATGATGTTTAAAAATACAATAGTTTGAAGAGCAGAGTAGTTCTTCCTAGTGTTCTGGGCCTATATCATCCCTAATCAATCAACATCATTTGGAGAGGCAAGGGCCTTGTGCTATTGTGGCTGAACTGTAAATCTAGAGACCCAGGCAATGTCCTAGGGACCTGGGTTCAAATCCCACCTCAGCAGATGGTGAAATTTGAGTTCAATTTAAAAAAAAAAAAAAAAAAAATCTGGAATAAAAGTCTGATGGTGACCATGAATCCATTGTCAGGAAAAATGCATCAGGTCCACTAACGGCCTTTTGGGGAGGATAGCTGCCATCTGTACTTGATCTGGCCTACCTGTAACTCCAGATGCACAGCAATGTGAATGGCCTCTGAGCAATTAGGGACAGCATTAAATGTCTGAGCCAGTGATGCCCTCATCCCATAAATGAATTTGAAATAAAACCTAAAACAACTGGTTAGCTGGTACACTGTTTGTTGAAATCTGCTATGTGCAAATTGGTCACCACATTTCTTACTTTACAACTGTAGCAATACTTCACTAGATACTTCCCTAGCTGTAACACTTCATGATGTCTTGAGGCATAGTGCTATAGAATTGCAAGTCTTTCTTGTTAAGGTAATTACATTAAATTTCTTTCTTAAAATAATGTTTGCAGTATGAGTAATTTTGAGACATGATGGTTAGTGTAGAGTGCTTGGGAGGATCACTTGGTTTACAACATTTCCATTACTGGAGCTTTTTTTCAACTCTTGTCTGGATCTGATGATCAGAATTTATTGTAATGATCAGTCATAATGCTGATCATGCTAACGTTGATAACACCTGGCGCACGCCTTGTGTAATGTAACCTGTATGCCTCTAAGTCTTTCTGATCCGTACATCCTTTGCTTACTATGATCTGCCTGTACCGCTTGTAAACAAAGCTTTTCACTTTATTTTGGTACACGTGATAATAAATAAACAGATCGATCAATCATCAATTGCATTTTTTATTATACTGTCAGGAAAGTTAGGGAAAAACAAACTTGATGGACCTTGGTTCTCCTTCCAGTAAGTCCTATGTTCAAAAAATGCCTTTTCCCAGAAAGAAAAGGACTAACCAAATTGCTTCAAGTAAATTATGGCTGAAAATAGCAACGGGTGGGCAAATGTTGTGCCATGGACAACACAGGAGAAACAAGGCATTCACTTTGTGAATAAAGATGCATCGTGATGGCTATCTAATGTTCTCCAATAGGGGTAAGCTGATTTCCACCCTGCTCTGGTTTAGTAACCCTATCTTACCTGTCTTGAGAATGTGGTGATTCACAATAGCATGAACATACTATAGCGTAAATTGTTATTTATGTGATATGTTTCTTTATTTACAAATCTATGAAGCAGAAGTTTCTGTTTGGTTAAAATATTTGCCCTCGCTGATCTATTGTCAAACTGCCATCCATATGATTGAAAATTAACCTCCCATGTTGTGATTATATTTCATGCAGTTATTTATAAATAAATATTAATGTATTAATTACACTGAGGGACATGGAGCCTTTTGAATGACTTTCAGAAACACTGCCCTTCCATAGAAAAAGATTTTGGTACCTGTGATTATGGATGATATTTAATGTTTTTTGAAATAGTGATTTTAAAATAGTTTAATACTGCGTGTAGTTAGTGTCGGGCAATATGATTTTCGAAAAGAGTATCAGTCTGAGAAGACTGGGCACAAACATGTGACACTGCCTTCCTTAATCATGCTTATGCTTAAGAAATGTCTTTTTTAATTTGCAAAGGTCCCCAAATTTCAAGTTAGTATGTTTTTAAACACTTTACCATGTATTTACGGGCAGATTCATTGTTGTCACTGTTGTACTTGTCATAAATAGATGGCAGGGTGTTTGGCTGTATGGCATATAGAAAATCCTGGACACCATGTGGTTTAGACTAACACATCAACAAGAAGTGTTTCCAGTGGTTGTGATCTGCATTGGTATCATTGCCATATGTTAGAAGAGGTACCTTTTATCCTGCCTCTTGAAAGTACCTTTTAGGGAATTGGGAAAGAGAGAACTGCTTTTGAGGCCCTTTTTAATCTCAGGTTATTACCAGTGTCACTTGCTAATGAGCATAAGAATACAAAAATTGAGCATGTGGCTACAGAATTGATGTAGAATGGACAGCCTCAGCTTTGAGGCAGTGGGGCCAGTTCTGAAGCTGGTTGGATCTGTACAAGATGGACAGGTCACACCTTAGTAGGCCTGGACTGACAGTCTGTCAGATTTTCTGGTGACATTGGGGAAGTTTAAACTTGATTGGCAGTTGGATGAGAGTTTGAGAGGAGGCTCTTTTTGGGGAAAAGTAGTAAGTAACATTAGACAGACAAAGTAAAGGCAAACAAATAGAATCAGAATATGAAATAATGTTAAAAATACTATGTTAAGGGGCATATGTGAATACACATGACATTTGCAACAAGATAGATGATTTGAAGGCACAGACGTAATCACTGAATGTGTACAAGGCAGAAATTATCCTTTGAAAGCAGAAGTATTATGGGGATAGCATGGGGAAGTGGTTTTGAGATAGATGATGTATTCAATGGGAGGAGCAGGCTAGACAGGCAGAATAGCCTACTCTGGCAACTATGTTTTTTGTGAACTTTTCATCCGTGCAGATATATGTTTGTAACTGGAGTTAAATTGGAATTCCTGCGTGTCTTGACGGGAACTAAACTCTACTTTGTTTGCCCTCCAAAGTAGTTCTCTGAAAAGAGCCTGTGGTACACAAAGGCTATAACAACTGTATTGTGACTTTAATTTTTATCAATAAAATTAATCAGTGGTTGTGATTTAGGATGCATTCGATTACCATTTTTCTTCTAAAATAAACAAAAGCTGCTTTTCCTCACCTGTAATATGTGAAACATTTTGTCCCTTTATATTGAGTTCAATGCTGTTTCTTTTGGCCCACCCTCCCCACCTCGGTTCTGGGTCTCATTTGTTTCAGTTGAGTGATATTATAATTTTGTTTCTTTTTTGCCAGAATCAGTTTTATAGAGTGCTTCAGATATTTGTAACTGACCATGACAAATGGTAATAACATCTGAAATATGCAAATTGCTGATGTATGAATTTGCCTAGTTCATTTTTTCAGAATATACCGACAGCTCTATCTTAGGCATTTTCATGATTTTTTTTTCCCTCTTAGTGGAGGATTAAAATAAGTTTGAATGAATGATGTTTTGTGCTTCCCCAACGTCCCCCACCACCAAAAGTTATTGCCTTGCTAGACCTGCTATACTGCTGTTATAAGATGCACGTTTTGTGAATACTGTATGGCTGAAATTTTATGGTCCTCTGCCCCATTGTGTCTCTTTGCATGTAGCTTATGGATGTATGCAGGAGAAATGTGCAATATGTTTTATATACATTTATCTCTGTTTGTCTAAATAAAGTATTTCCAAGACCGTCACTGACCTTAACTCCTCTAAGGGTTCTCCAATCACAACCTGTTTCTACTTCCTTTCCAAGATCCCCAAATGGGACCATCCTGGCAGCCTGATTTTTTTTCAGCCTGTTCCTATTCCACTGAACTAATCTCGTCCCATCTCCTATTTTTATCATCCTTGTGCCCAGTCTTTTCCCACCTACATCAGTGACTCTTCCAATGTCCCCTTTTCTCTTTAACAGTTTCCATTTTCCTTGCCCTAACACCACCTTCTTGCAATGAACACTTAATTTTGCTTTACCTCCACTGCACACTAGTTTGGTCTGAGGGCTTTCTGCTTTCTGAATGGAAACCCAAACAGTCCCATTGTCATTATTTCCTCTAACTGACAGAATTTTTTTTATATTAGGTCATTTTTTCCTCTAACTGCATTCATTTCCTCCAAATAAAAGGTGTTTCTCTAGAAACCTCTACAGAACATTAACTATGCCTGCCTTTTCTGGGATATGTGGAATATTCTTTGTTGCTGTCCTACTCAGGAACCCTCTCCCTCTGGCCCTTTTTTTCTATTTTGCTGTTACATTGGGGATGTATTGGTCCAGTTTTCTGAACTAGAAAATGTCATTTTATTCCATTTTCTATCCTTCTCTATTTCACATGGACCATTTGCCATCTTTGCTTCCTTTTCTCTATCTTTGTTTCTGTTCAAAACCAGTATTCACTAAAGGTCCATTGACTCCACAGCTACTTTGACTACACTTCCTCATATACTGCTTTCTGTGATGACTTTTCCATTCTATATTTGTCCATTTAAAATCATATAGCATGGAATAGACCCTTCGGTCCAACTAGTCCACGCTGATCATGTTCCCAAGCTAAACCAGTCCCACCTGTCTGCAATTGCCTCCTATTCCTTCAAACCTTCCTATTCATATACTTATCTAAATATCTTTTAAATGTTGTAAGTGTACCTGCATACACCACTTCCTCTAGAAGTTCATTCTACACACAAACCACTCTGTGTTTTTAAAAAATTGCTGCTCATGTCTATTTTACATCTTTTTCCTCTGTCCTGAAAATATGCCCCCTTGTTTTGAACTTCCCCACCTTGATGAAAAACAAAGGCCTTTTCTGTGCCCCTCATGATTTTATAAACCCCCATAAGGGGACCCCTCAACCTCCTGTGCTCCAGTGAAAAAGTCCCATTATTATCCAGCCTGTTTTTATAACTCAAACTCTCCATTCCCAGCAACTTCCTTGTAAATCTTCTCTGAACCCTCTCCAGTTTAATAATATCTTTCCTTTAACAGGGCAACCAGAACTGCACACAGTACTCCAGAAGAGGCGTCACCAATGTCCTGTACAACCTCAATATGACATCTCAACTTCCATATTCCAGAGTCTGAGTAATGAAGGCAAGCGTGCTAAACACCACCTTTACTGTCTTACCTGTGACACACATTTCAAAGAATTATGTACCTGAACCCCTCGGTCTTTCTGTTCTGCACACTATCCAGGGGCCCTACCATTAATTGTGTAAGTCCTGCCCTTGTTTATTTTACTGAAATGCAATACTGTGCATTTATCCAAATTAAATTCCATCTGTCACTCTTCAGCCCATTGACCCAATCGATCAAGATCTCTGTAATCTTAGTTAACCTTCACTGTCCACTATACCACCAATTTTGGTGCCATCTGCAAACTTACTAACCATGCCTTCTACAGTCTCCTCCAAATCATTTATATAAATGACAAACAAGAGTGGACCCTGTACCGATCCCTGTGGAACACCGCTGGTCACAGGCCCCCAGTCCAAGAAACAACCCTCCACCACCCTCTGTCTCCTACTGTCAAGCCAATTTTGTATCAAATTGTCAAGCTCACCCTGAATCCCATGTGATCTGACCTTACTAATTAGTCTACCATGCAAAACCTTGTCAAAGGCTTTACTAAAGCCCAAGTAAACAATATCTACCACTCTTCATCAACCTTTTTGGTTACTTGCTCAAAAAACTCAATCAAGTTTGTGGGACACAATTTCCCTTGCGCAAAGCCATTCTGTTTGTATTTGTCTTGAAACATTTCTTTCGTACCCTAACATCCAGTTTCTCCTCCTTTCTTCTCAACTGAAGGTATCCCCGTTGCAGTTGACGCAGCCTTGTGCCATACACATTCTATTCCATGCAGTTTTAATATTGTCCTTTATCCTCCTACCAAAACTGAAAGGGTTTCCCTGTCACGTTTCATCCTCTACATTCAGCAGATCATTGTGTTCTACATCTGCCACCTCCAGGGTGATGTTACAACCAAACACATCTTTCCCTCTTTTCCAGCAATCTAAAGGGGTTGATATCTCTGTGATACCTGGTCCACTCCTCACTTTCCCCTTCCCAAGACGCCTTAGCATACAAACATAGTAGATGCAAAATCTGATCTTTTCCACCTCCTTTTTCATCATCCATTGCCCTAAACATTCATTCTTGGTGAAACTGTTTATTTTTCTGTCATTCAGTTAACTATACTGTACGCACTGTCCTCACTTAAAATTGCGGTTCTGTTCCTGACAATCTCAGCTTACAGTGAAAAGACTTGTAGTGAGTCATTCTTCCATTAAGACCAATGTAAAAGCTATAATTTGAGTTCTGTCAGATTTTCCTTTTTAAAAAAAATCATTGGATCCTAAAACCTCAAGTACTTTATTAAATTCCTTCATTGGTAAATGAAAAAAAGATTTTAAAAATTTAAAATATGCAATAAAAGAAATATTAACCCACAACTTGCTGCTGAGCCTGCTTACCACCAATTCCGATCACCAAACCTCCTGTTCCCTACACATCCTGATCTCTGACTGTCCTGGTTGCTGCAGACCCTGCTGAGAACCTCTGCTGCTGTCAGACACACTGTTCTGACCTTTCTTCTCATCAAATATCCTGCTCCCTGATTTTGCTCTCTCCACTTTCCCATCTTGAACCTTGCTGTGAATAAGAGTGCTGTAGTATTTATTCTAAGATTCCAGGGATGAAACTGTAGTGACAGCATCTTTCAGAAGTCCCAACTCTGTTAGAGATTCCCAGACTATGTAGTGAAGCACGTGCTGAGACAAAATACAGCAAGCTGCCTGTTGTACGATGCGTGGGGAATGGGGTGTGCCAATTGCATGAGCCGTACTGACATAGAAGCCAAATACAGTACACTCTCTCTCCGTTTATTATTCTTTGGAAGAAAAAGTCTTAAATTTAAATGTCAAAATGGAAACAATTTACTCAAGGTTTTAGAAAAGCTGATCATATTTCATCAAGGTCATCAACAAAACTTATGCAATTTGCATCTCGAGCAGCATGATAGGTGAATGTATATGCGTCGGAATTTGTCGTGCAAGTTCCGATAGATGTTTTCAAAGAAACTTCATAAAAACAGTAAATTTTCCTTGAAATGTTGCCAATTGTATGAGAATTCTAGGTGGTTGGGTCCCAGATAATGAATTTACTGTACTTTAGACAACTCCTTGAATTTCTTCATATTGCCTCTCCATGCAGATACATGCTTTCCCTCCGGGTTGACTTATTTTTAAATTATTTTTAATCATTCTGCTGAGACGTGTTTTGGCACACCTCCAGGACAGGTGCAACTTGAAGCTGGACCTTGTGGCCCATGAGTAGGGACACTACCATTGCACCAGAATAGCCCTATACATTTAAAGTTTGCTTTTAATCAACCTGTTCAGGCATGTTATAACACACCTGTGGGCCAGGTGAGATTTGAACTTGGACATTCTTCTGAGAGTTAGCATTACCCTGCACCAAAAGTCTTAGTACATTTTAACACCCACTTTTAGAATCCTAGTCATCCAGCATAGAAAGCAAGCCCTTAGACCCACCATGTCTATGCTGACCAGAAAAACATCAAACTGCACTAATCCCATTTGGTCCATAGCCTACTCTGCCCTAGCATTTTAAGTGCTCAGCTAGATGCTTCTCAAATGTTGCAAGGTTACGTGCATCTGCCACCTTCTCAGGCAGCACACTCAACTTTTTTTCCCAGAAGATGGTAGAAATGTGATTTCTCAGATCTTTTCTAAATCACTTGTTTGTCACCATAACTTTACTCCTTCTGGTCTTAGACACATCTGCCATGGGAATGCAATTCTCAGGATCAACTGTCAATACCTCCATAATTTTGTGTACCTTGTTTAATTATTCAACTTTTCCAAAAATCCAATGTCAGGAACGGGGTCTGTGGTTGATTCCTAACTGCTCTCTAGGCAATTAGGGATGGGCAGTAAATGCTGCCTGGCCAACGATGCCCTCATCTTGTGTATGAATTAAAAAGAAATTCTAATGATGTCTATTTCAGTATATTGTGCCAAAATGATTTGGTTGAACAACAAATATTTGAAGGAATCTTGATTCATTATAGTTTTACAAGTGCCTAGGAGCAGTTGATTGTTTGATAGGGCTAGTGGATTGGAATTAATCAGAATTTGAATTGAATAATGTATAACTTTGCAGTAATCCAAATCTGTTTTCATTTATCTGTTTTTTCAATTGTGCTATTAAATGTATAAGTTGTGCCCTGATTCGCCTTTCCAAAATGCAGCACCTCCCATTTACCTAAATTAAACTTCCATCTGCCATTCCTTGGCCCATTGGCCCACCTGACCATGATCCCATTGTGCTCTGAGATAACCTTCTTCGCTGTCCACTATACCTCCCAATTTTGCTGTCATCTGCAAACTTACTAACCATAACTGCTATGTTTGCATCCAAATCATTTATATAAAGGACAAAAAGCAGTAGACCCATCACTGATCCTTGTGGCACACTGCTGGTCACAGGTCTGCAGTCTGAAAAACAACTCTTCACTACCCTCTGTATCTTCTCCCTTTCAGCCAGTTCTGTATCCAAGTGGCTGTTCTCCCTGTATTCCATGTGATTGAACTTGAGATTCTCAGTTCTTAGGAAGGGTCACTCGACCCAAACTGGCAACTCTGATTTTGCTCCACAGATGCTGCTAGATCTGCTGAGCTGTTCCAGCAATTTCTGTTTTTGTTTCTGATTTGCAGCATATGCGGTTGTTTCAGTTTTCATTATAACTTAGTTGTCCATGCATATTTATCAAAATACTGCAGGTACTCCTGCAGTAATGTCTCAGTGTGTGCCAGGTTCTACCCAGAGGGTGGTGGGGTCTGGAATGTGCTGCCTAGGAAGGTAGTTGAGGCATGAAACCTCTCAACCTTTAAAAGGTATTTGGCTGAGTGCACAAATTATCATAGTTTCAAGGTTATGGGCCTAGTGTGGGAAAGTGTAGGTCTAGTGTAGGTAGTAGGATATTTTTGGCAGTGCATACTTGAAGGGCCTTCTGTACTGTAGGATTCTGAGTATTGTTGAATTTGCACACAATTTTTTATAGCTGACTTTTAAAAACAATTTATATATAAACTTTAATACATTATAGTTTAAGGTGGTAATTGCAATATTGGGGATGGTAGTCTAGGAGGATAGTTGAATGACATTAGAAATAAATGGGCCAGATGGCTTGGGAAGAAAAGTGATGGGATGGAATAGAATCTAAAAGGAATAGGAAGGAGGAGATTGCATCAGAGGAGCGGCGTGGGAAATTGGGATTGCATGTGATTGGGTGGTATGTGATGGACACAATTGAAATGAATATGGAAAGTGAGGGGATGTGTCAGAAGACTAGAATGGTCTGGGAGGCATATGAGGGAGGGGGATGGTGTGTGGAGAATGGCTTGGGAAGTATGAATGAGCTGATAGAATTTATTATGTATACACATTTGACTACATATTTTTCAGCTCTCTTAGTCTGAAAATAGTTCACTCCTAATACTTCTCTTGTCACATTGGGCACATGTTTGTTGTGTATGCTTTAAGTGGCGCACAGTAATAAGTGATGCTTTTAAAGTGGGCTCATTGAAATTTTGAATACACTTGCACAATTAAAACTGTTCAACTTCAGTTGATGCATGATTGGGGTAAACGGAAGATGTAATAAAACAGAACCATGGATGCTGTCAATCTGAAACAAACAAAAACAAATTGCTGGAGAAACTCAGGTCTGGCAGCATCTGTGAAGAGAAGAGAGTTGAAGTTTGAATCTGGTGATCCCTTCAGAAATGTAATGCACACTTGCCAGAATAATTAGCATTTTGGTACCTATAGATTATTTTGGCAGAGGGGAATTAATATTCAGATGTTTGTGGTTGATAGAGTCGAAGGCTATTTGGCTTCAGTCGGTCTAAAAGTATTCGCTGAAGTAGAAAGTATGTGTCATTGAATAGACTGTAGTTGTTTACATGCATTTGAAAGTTTTTTGTTTTAAATCTGTTCAGTGTGCATATCCCTGTGCCCTGTTCCCTCTTAGCTAGAGAGTAGCATAATCTAGAATTTCAGCATCATGAAACGAGGAGTGTGAGGTAATTTAGTGCATCGTTTCTCTGCCAAATTTTTGACATCAAGTTAACAC